CTCCTCAACCCTACCCTCGCGGGATCACCAACGCTCCTCCACCTTCCAGCTCTCCGACCCTTTCTAACGTCCACTGCCACCTTCTCTCTCTCTCCCCTTTCTACGACGCCCTCCATTTTTCTCGGGGCGGCATGGAGGTTCCCTTTAACTCCCCCCCCGCGGCGTATGGCAAAAGGTGTGCACGAGAAAGCGAGAAACGATCCGCTACAGTGGTAGAGAATAGATACAAAAATCTTAGGGATTTGAAGGACGGAAAAGAACAGGAAAAGTTGCGGGAAAAAAGAGGCCCGATATTTTTTCTTAAAAAAATAATTAAAGGATTTTTTTTAAAAATCGTTTACGCTCAGCGTTGATCTGCTAGCAAAAACCAACGGGTCTAGACCACCACCACATACCTCTGCTGCTCAGCAATCCACTTCAGCAGCTCGGAAGTTGCAGCTCAGCCGACACGCAGCCGCATCTCAGCCAGCCGTGGTCGCTGGCAAGAGACATGACACACAGTGCGGGTGTGGCGCGGGTGGGTAAACTTTGCCAATTGCAGGGAGTGCCTTGGGGCGCTGTGGGGCGGCACCTCAGCCGCGACAGCGTTGGCAACGCGTCACGCGCACATTAGCTTCTCCCACCTTCAGAACGCCCCCCCTTCCCCCCCTCTCTTTCCGTCAACATGAAAGTAAGTAAAGGGCGCGTGTTTCAAAAGGGAATACGAGATTTTGGCGCGTCAACAGGCAAACGTTTACTCATAAGCTCCATTCCTGTTTGTCCGAGCAAACATCCACATGTGTAGACAGATCTGACCCGCCCCCTCGCGACGGCTGCGGCCGAGGTTCTCTAGCTGTACAACTGGAAAAACAAGCAGTGTGCGGAAATGTCGCACACTTGTAGGTGTTCAATTAGAAATTACTGAGACTGATTTAAAAATGACTGAAATTTTAAAGAACGTTCACGGAGCTAAAATAGCTAATACATTCGCTAAATTAGCCTTGGACCACAATATTATTAATTCCGCCGGCAAGATTGTGAGTGATAAATCAGTTGCGTCCCAAAAAATTTCTAGTTCACCGATTGCATGGACGACAATAATTCACGTGATGCGACGTGAGCTGACGATAGAAAATGATTTAAGATGACTAAGAAGAAAAAATGATGAAATGACCAAAAACTGACTAAACGAACGAAAATATCACAAAATTCACGGAATGACTGTAAATAACTGAAACTGACTGCAAATGTGACAGAATTGACATGTGTACAGTGACAACCAAGAGTAAGGGACCCGTTTCCGCTGTGGCTATTTACATTGTAGCAGAATATGCCGATGAATGGCACATTGCACGACTCACTTCGTCAGTCAGTCAAAGCCCTTTTTCTGCTGCCAATCAAGTTTCACGCGAGCGGTCGCGACGGCACGCCAACCCAATCGGTGCGTCCGCCGAACGATCACTCTCTCCACACGGCCGTGAGCGGACGGGACCAACGACTCTCTACAAGCCACACGGTAAACACAGGGCCTGAGATTCCTTTGGGACGTTAGTTTGAGCATTTTTGACCAATTCTTTACGAATCTGTTTATCACTTTTTATCGAGATGGGTCTGTTTCGTTGTTTCTCACTTACAAGTTTAGATTAGTTTCTCCCGAATCTGCTACTCAATCCTGGCTCAGCTTTTAGCATGTCCCTGCTCAATGCTGCGACGTTGTACATGCTCGTGACTGTGACGCTCGTGAACCATGAAGGCACCGATGCCAAAGCCATCAAAAGTTTCGCGGTACGTTCTATGAAAGTCTATCTGTAACATGCTGTCAACTTGTTTTAGATTTATAGAAGTACCTAAGAAACCTGGACCTCCAACATGATTCTATTTGCAGTAAAACCAGATTCTACCTTTTAGGGTCCATGGATAGTTTACGCAGATCGTTTCTCCGTGTGTGAAAACGAGGGTGATTGGAAATGGAATTTACGAGTTACGCACTTCAACCCGCAGAAACCAAACGATTTGCAGCTCATTTCCGGAAATCTTACTGTATCAAGATCGGTAAATGATAGTAGCTGGGTAAGACATTTATCTTCTTTGTCTTTTTTTATAGGTGCACTGATATAACTGATACACAAAAAAGTGTTCGACTCGCATTCTCATCGTTTGTAGGCACTTATTCAAACACTTTGACGTCACATTTAAGCGACTGTGACACGCGTCACATTGTTTGGAATCAAGTGTCCATTTAGATTAATGGCGAACCATGGAGTTGAACACTGGTCAGTGTTCACCTTTACACTTTATGGTATTGAAATATCAAATCAAACAGTTAAAAGTGTGCAAGTTGAGCCCTTGCATTTTCACGCCAGTGGCACACTTTATTTATCGTAAGTGTTGTCGTAATTTTTGATTGAATGTTTTTTTGCCTGGTTCTTTCGGAGGCTAGCAAACTTTTTGCATTCTTTTGTCCACTTTTGATTGCCTGATTGCTGTATTCTTTAGAAGGATGCCGAAATTCGGCACTCTACAATGGCAAACAGGAATGCCAATATTTCATCACACAAATCAGCAATGGCGTTATCTTAATTGTTTCGTAAGCAGTATAATACAATAATAATAGAAATTATTCTTCACAGGCGAGAGCAAACCTGGCTGTTCGGAATAATAACCAATGGAAACAAAACGCATTTATCTTTGAGTTCAAAGATAAAGCATGCTCACTGGTTACAGTACATATCCCCGGATTTTATCGCACATTTTTCGGAAAAGTCAGAGACCCTTGCGTCCTTCGCGCTGTAAGTACACATACACGGCGGACCACAGACCCCGCTGCACAATTACATTAATACAGGCGTGTGGACGTGCTGCATCACTGTTAACAAATGGTTGTAAATTAACAACGAAAGTTTATTTAAGTTTGTTAGCAACACGTGTTATTGTCAAAAAAAAAAAGTGTTGTCAAAAAACAATTAAGATTATTGATAAAAATCTGGGAAATAAAGTTTACGGCCGAAAACAGTCACTATTTTTGCTCCTAATTGTAACTTCATTAAAAAAAAACAAAAACACTCGTATTCCACCTTTTTTTTCCAGGAGCAAAACAAAAGTGACTGTTTTCGGTCCGGTGCAGCTAGATTGTCCTGTCAAATTTTAGGAACGAACAATCTGGACGTGCACGAAAACGTTCCCTTATATATTACGAACAAAATTGCCCCTTTATATTAAGAGTGAACTTAAACTGGCGTATGATGACTACTACTACTACTACTACAGACAGAGGCTGAATTTTATAGACTATTGAGCCGTACAAGACAAAAAGCAACACAACTATTTCACTATTCCCGACCCGGACGTCAGACGTATGGCATTGGGTTAATCCATTTTTTTTTCTCAGGGTCTATACGAGGTCGACCGCGAACCAATAGATTGGACGTTTCCAAAAGTTCCAATCATGCCGTATGGACATTACCTATTTAAATTAAGATTCGGTTATGAGAAAGATACGGTAGCGTGCGTGCTGGCAGAATGTCATGTTGTTCCGAAACAATAACAAGGCAAATCTAGAACCCCGGGATTCCCAGGTTCTAGATCTGCCATAAATACGCCACTATTGACACTCGTTTATAAAAATGTGATTTAAATGAATTGATGTGTTGTCTTCTTTAGTTTTTTCCCCCTCAGAAACGTGCTAGCGAAAACACCCAGGATTTCCCGTATATATAGGCATATTGGCCATAACTGAATAAAACTTAATCGCCGCTCTATACACATGGGCTAACACCTTACGGAAGTGCTATCCGTATGTTACGGAGAAATATGTTGAAACGTAACACGAACAACAAATCACCCGTAACACGAATGCCATTGTCCGTGTTATGGATAATTCGATCGGTATTAGGTCCGTACAGAACCGTCCGAAAGCGAGTTCGTAAGGAAATGAGAGTGCATTTGGACACTTGTGTCGCACACTTGTAGGTTTGTGAAAACGCCATTCGTAGACACACGTTTGTAAATTTATGAGGAAAAATTAACCATTTGACTCCCGTATGTCAACGAATGGGCATTCGCACACCGAACAAGTGTGTGCGAAATTCACACACTTGCGTTGCACACAGTGCAGGCTCTGGTCGGGAGGAGGGGGGGCGGGGGCGCTAAGTGGCAGTCCTTTTATCTTCATACAGAGCGGTTTGGTCCACGTCCTCGCGGAGGGGTGTGGCGGGGCGGGGCG